GGGTTTGAACCACCAGCCTTCTGGTTAGCAGTCAAGTGCCTTAGGCACTATGCTACCTGAGCTCCTTTTGACTGTGTAGATCATAACAAATTATGGATAATATTTAGAAGAATGGGAATTCCAGAACACTTAATCATGTTCATAAGGAACTGTACATAGACGAGGAAGCTGTTGTTTGAACAGAACAAGGGGATACTACATGGTTTAAAGTCAAGAAGGGAGTGTGTCAGGGTTGTATCCTTTTACCATACTTATTCAATCTGCATGCTAAGCAAATAATCTGAGAAGCTGGACTATATGAAGAAGAACGTGGCATCAGGACTAGAGGAAGACTCATTAACAACCTGCGATATGCAAGGCACAACCTTGCTTGCTCAAAGTGAAGATTTGAAGCACTTACTGATGAAAATTAAACACTACAGTCTGCAGTATTTATACCTCAACATAAAGAAAATGAAAATCCTCACAACTGGACCAATAAGCAGCATCACAATAAAGGGAGAAAAGATTGAAGTTATCAGAGATTTCATATTACTTGGGTCCACAATCAACACCAATGGAAGCAGCAGTCAAGAAATAGATGCACTGGGCAAATCTGCTGCAAAAGATCTCTTTAAAGTGCTGAAGAGCAACGATATCTCTCTGAAGACTAAGGTGCACCTAACCCAGGCCATGGTATTTTCAGTTGCCTCATATGCATGTGAAAGCTGGACAATGAATAAGGGAGACTGAAGAAGAGTTGATGCTTTAGAGTTGTGATGTTGGCAAAGAACACTGAAAGTACCATGGGCTGCCAGAACAAATAAATCTATCCAGGAAGAAGTTCAGCTGAATCCTCCTTGGAAACAAGAAATGGTCAGACTTCATTTCAACTACTTTGGTTATGTTGTCAGAAGGGACCATTCTCTAGAGAAGGATATCATGCTTGGTAAAGCGGAGGATCACAGAAAAAGGGGAAGATCCTCAACGAGATGGATTGAGACAGTGGCTAAAATGATGGGCTCGGGTATAGCAAGCACTGTGGGATGGCACATGACCAGGCAGTGTTTCATTCTGTTGTATATAAGGTCGCTATGAGTTGGAAAGGAGCTCTGGTAGCATAGTGCCAAGGCACTTGACTGCTAACCAGGAGGCTGGCAGTTCAAACCCACCAGCCACTCCTCGGAAGGAAGGTTGGGCAATCCTACTTCCGTAGTGATAACTGCCTCGGAAACCCAAGGAGGGGTCGCTAGGAGTCAGGGCCGACTCGATGGCAAACAACATGAGTTGGAAGCAACTCGAAGCACCTAACAACAACAAGAAGTAAGAACCATATGCACCACTTACTTACAAATTCTTAAAGACAGGAATGAATCCATTTGTAACCTAATCCATTTGTAACCTGGGAACTGCCTGCTTGCTAATGGTTGAATGAATTATATATTTATATATTAACTATAGGCATATAGTAGGTTGTAAAACTACCAAATAAATTTATAATTATCGACCAAGGTTAAATTTTTTTTTTTTTTTGCTTTTGCTAATCACATGGAAGGCACTAAAAACACAGCAACACACAAGCCACCACAGTATGACAAACTGACAGATGAGCAGTGGACTAAAACCCAGTATCACTTTAAATTTCTGGCTGACATTTTTAATACTACCCAATGTTTGGGGTACCCTCAGGAGAATCTTTCTTTTTTGTTCCTGAGGAGGAAGGTGGAATGGAGAAGTAGGTTTATTCTTACACTAAATCTCTCCCTTCTGGGGTTCCAACTTTATGAGGTCTCCTATCAGTCTTCTTACCTGGGGCAGGCCCTAAGCCTTGTCTGCTGTTTATCATCCCTATCCCATCCCATGTTTTTTTGAAATGTAAAGTTCAATTTGACATTTGGCAAATGTCCTAAGGGCGAAAGGTGGCATTAGTGCCCTAATTACTTCTCTGGGCTTCTACTTTCACTTATTTATTTATTTATTTTCCTTGAGAATTATTTTTAAGTTCATGGATACATTTTTAAAAATAGTTCTTGATATATACTCCAGACACTTCAGTTGTTTTCAGTGGGTCCTTCTATCAGCCATTATTACTGGAAATATAATTCTTTCAATTTGTTTTTAACAACTTACAGGACCAATGTACTTGTCCCTGATCTAGAGGTAGTACAGCAGGAACATACTTAGAAACCAGTATGACTTGAAATCAAGTCTCAGATCCACAAGCTATCTAACCTTGGGTAGCTTACTTCCACTCTGTGCTACACAATTAAATGAATTAATATATTAAGACAACTTAAAATAGGGCATGGCTTGGGTATGCATGATATAAGGATTTTTTTAAAAAAATACATTTTATTGAAATATAATTTATGTACAGTGAAATACACAAAACCAAAAGTGACATGGGTCAAAGCATTTTTTTTTTCCAGTTTTCCCTCCCCTCCTCTCCTACCCTGGTAACCAACAAAGAAAGTTTTCTTTGATATAAGGATTTCCTATCATCTGAAAATGTTGGAACATTTTCATCTTGTGTAACACCACCCATCTTACCCAATGGTCCAATGATACTTGGTCTTCTGGCCATCTAAGCCCACCTTATCATGTTGTAAACCACCCTCTGGGCTCATAATGGGAGGCAGAAACCAATTATAAGTTATTCACTGGATGACAGGCCCAGGAACAGTCACAAGATACACCCTATGTCCAGAGAAGAATGGTAGCTGATACTGATATAAGAGATTATATTAGAAATGATCATCATCATCAGATGGGAGTCAGTGAATAGGACTGTACCCTAGATCAATGATAGATTGAGCTGAGGATAATCTTGCACAGATACTAGTGATACAAAATAAACACAATCATTATAGAAGCAACAGAAGACAGACCTGGATTAATCTCTCAGAGACAGCCAAACACCTTGGGACAGAGCACCATTCGGTCTGCCGACTGAGGACCATACTAGTGGGAGACAGCAGGCTCAATTAGTACAACGTAATACATAAAAATCTTGTTCCATGACCTACTTTGGTCAATTCCAACTGGGATCTTAAAAACTTTCAAGCATCCATCTAAGATGCAGCCTTAAGATGCAACCTTCCTAAGATGCAACCTTCCTTCCAAGGAGTGCAGCCTTCTGGTTAGCAGTCAAGTGCCTTAGGCACTATGCTACCAGAGCTCCCCCCTAAGACTACAGCCCTGGATACTCTTCAGGCCTTGAATAGCACTCACTTTCAAGGACTGGCTCTCAGCCCAACAGTAGAAAGACTTACATGAAGAACACCCAACTGAAGGTGAGGCACCCACCTACTCTACAGAGATTCACCCCTTGGAGCAATTGGCCGTGGGGCACCAGAGAGGCAGCACTCACATGGAGGAAAAGATGGACAGGCAAAAGTGTATAACCAAGAAGGGCACAAGGAAGGGGGGTCGGCACAGGGAAGGGAGAGAGGAGGGTGGGTTAGGGTTGGGAGATGATAATTGGGGAGTGAAACCAAGTGTACACGAACTGTTGAATGTAAAATTCTGCTCTGTGAATCTGCACCCAAAGAACAATTAAAAAAAAAAAAAGATCATCATCATTATGGTGAAGAAACCCACAGTCCTATTGTCATTAAGAAATCTGCAATTATTAAAAAAAAAATATACATCATTTTATTATTTTTTTTATGGTGGACAGTCATCATTTGCCCCAACAGCCATCTGAAGCCAATAGTCCTGATTATTAAAAATCACAAAGTTGTACAAATGTTCTCCTCCTTTTTGAAAACCATGTTCATTTTCTCTCCAAGAAACAGGGCTGTCTGCAAAGCCTTGAACACACAAGGAAACCCAAGGAGCTAACTTGGGCTCATCAAAGTAGTGACTGAAAAAGAAAACAAACAATTTTTAACAGACAGGATGAGTTAGAAATGTTTACTTTATTTTTCCTTTTAATTTATCTAAGATTAGTTATATTCCTGATGGTCTAAAGAAACTTAAGGCCAACACATTTGCCCCAACAAAAAAACTTAAGCTGTTCCCACCTTTATTCTGGAAGATACATATTAAAAAAAAAAAAAAGCAAGCTCACAAAGTAGACAAGAATAATTTTACTTCTTTAAATAGTGAAACCTTCAGTGTTTCTGTTAATTGAAAGACTTGCAGAATAATTTATTGTCTCTTAAGAAACTGACCTTCCTATTGAAGAAAATCAAAGAACTAAGATAATAAATGTAAAAAAAAAAAAAAAGATGTTCGAGTTTAAAAGGAGAAATCTTTTGTTCAAACAAAAGCTTGTATATGAATGTTCACAGCAACACTACTCAAACAGAAAATAGGTGGAAACAACCAAAATGTCCATCAGCTGATGAATGATTAAACAAAATGTTATATATATAAATACACACACATATATGAAATGGAATATTATTTGGCCATAAAAAGTAATGAAGTACTACTGATATATACTGTAACACGGATGAGCTATGAAAACATTACAAGTAAAAGAACGCAACAAAAGGCCATATATTGTACAATTCTATTTACATAAAATGTCCAGAATAGCCAAATTCACAGACAGAAAGCAGATTAGTAGTTGCCAGGTGGTAGAAAAACCAAAACCAAACCCATTGCCATTGAGTCGATTCTGATTCACAGTGACCCCCATTGGGTTTCTGAGGCTGTAAATCTTTATGGAAGTAGACTGTCCTGTCTTCCATCTGTGGAGTGGCTGATGGGTTTGAACTGCCAACCTTCTGGTTAGCAGTCAAATGCCTTAGGCAGAGTGAATGCTTAATGGCTATGGGGTTTCCTTTTGGAGTGATGGAAAAGTTTTGGAGCTAGATAGTGGTGATGGTGGTACAACACTGTGAATGTACTAATGCCACTGAATTGTAGACTTTAAAATGGTAAGTTTCATTTTATATCTATGTTATCATACTGGGGGGGAAAAAGGGAAAGTCCTCAAAATTTAAATTTTAGACATTTTAAAAATGAAGATGGTGAGGCACACTTGCTAAATCTAATTATGCTCAATTTTATAGTCTTTTCAATAAGGGATTGAAGTTTCCTAACATTAGACACAAACATACAGATTTATGTCGTTGTTGTTTGCCATGGAATTGGACCTGACTCATAGCGACCCCTCCTTGGGTTTCCGAGGCGGTATCACTACAGAAGTAGATTGTACAACCTTCCTTCTGAGGAGTGGTTGGTGAGTTTGAACCGCCAGCCTCCTGGTTAGCAGTCAAATGCCTTAGCCACAAAGGAAAAATAAATACTACTTCATATAGTACTTGGTGTATATTACTAAATCCCAATGATTTATAGATTATTAAGGTTAGAACGTATCAGAAATACGATTTGGATTCAGAAGTGTTCAAGCTCTTTTTTTTACCACTCCTTTTCAAATTAAAAGTATCTTGCAGAACTCTAAAATTTTAAACATAATTTGTTCCACAGTATACTGCTAATCTGCTCACGTGTGTGTGGTGTTCTGGCCATCAAATCGATTTTGACTCATAGCAGCCTTACCTTGGGTTTCTGAGGCAGTATCTCTATGGAAGTAGATTGCCCAGTGTTCATTCTGAGGAGTGGCTCGTGGGTTTGAACTGCCAGCCTTCTGGTTAGCAGTCAAATGCCTTAGGCACTATACCACCAGAGCTCCCTGCTAATCTACTTAGGTGCTTTTAAAACTTCTACTGACCCAAAATGGAATAGGGGAGAAGAAAAATGAGCAACTTGTTTTGAAGAAGCATATTTTAAGTTCTGTCTTTTTCTTCTCTTAAGGGCGAAGACTTGGCAATGAAATTTTTCTCTCAGCAAGCGTAATTATGCTGTTTAAGATGATAAAGGTACTATACTTTAAGCCCAACCAAGTGAAAATGTTTACTAACATTGTCATGAAAAGTGTCACTGTGGCACAGATAATCAGGATAGAAAAGGCCAAGAGTCTCACCGCAGCTGTTCCAGTAAGAGACTGATCTTCTCTGGAAGCAGGAAACCAGTGATTGTACATAAATAAGCTTTTGCCACCACTGTACTTGGCTGAGGACAGCAATAGGTTGATATGAAATTATTTGGCTCATTATTTCTGTCAAAAAAAAAAAAAAGGAAACACATTTATATCCACCACATAATCACATTCAACCCAAATTTGAAAAAAGAAGATGAAAGCCAGACCCACAGAAGGTTGCCAGCAAGATCAGATACGCACAGGTCAACGTGACTGAAGACAGCTCCCAGCCAGTCAAAGACCTCGTGGGTGCTGCAGGCAGCTTCGGGCTCCCCCTGAAGCTTATGGCTCTGCAGCACGGGGCACTGCAAGTCTGTCAATACACTCAGAGTTATTTTTGGCTGTTGCTCCTGAATTTGGTAACTGGAAAAGTATGACATCATTGCTGATTCTTCTGCACCTTAAAACACACCATTTATGGTCATTTAAATATTTTAAATAAGTTCAGTAAATTCCCTAGGAAACAGAGAGGATTAAGTAAGATGGAAGAAAGTTGTGCAAAGCTGTATTTGAATGAAAATTATTTAAATTGCTTTTTACACCTGGTGCCAAAGTTGTACAAACATTCTTCTTTCAGACTTTTCCTAGAAAAGCATAACACTTTCAGATCCAACCCATACTAATTTCATCATTTGCTGTAATAATAATAATAAAAATTTCAATACATAAACTAAAACCATTTCTACTATATGAATAAAACTGGTGACCTCTATAGAGAAAATATATTTCCATAATCCCTATTAAGGAAAGGGAAGAACTGAATGATGATATAATCTCATTCAAGATTGTCTTTTAAAATCCCTGTCATGTTCAAATGTTTTTCTTTTTAAGTATATCTCCATAACCAACAGCTCTGGATGATAAAAATAGTGGCTCCTTCAAGAGCAAAGGGCAGGATTATTTACGGTCCCATATAATAATGTCTCCCTACCTCTCTCTGGCACAAAGATCAGACAAGCTTAATACCCATTATAAAAGGTCTGGGTTTCTTAACCTCTAGGTCTCTTGACCATAACACAGCACAGTACATGAGCAGTTGTCACATGGTCCTCTTCAAACTACCCTGTGGGAAACAGGGCTCATGAAAATGATGTCAGAAAATGCATCATACTCTAGCTACTGCTACTGCTGTGAATAATAAAGTACTTTTTCTCTGATAAAAGAGTTTGTCATTTGCTAGCATCCATAAAACTGTGGCAAGTTAACTAGTAAAATCTCAGACCTCTTGCAGTTCTTGACAAACCTTAAAATAAATAGGAGTTTGAGGAGCTGAAATTTATCCAGAACCTTGTACATGAATGGTCCTCATAGTAGACTCCATGAGATGCTAGTCTTCAGGCAATATACAAGGACAGTCTGTGAACTTTTAGCTCTATCAGACGTAGGAGAGAACTTGGTGTTATACATCTCGGAATTGTGGAAAGCAACTGGAGGGTACTCACTGACCAGAAACTTCCCTTGAGTGTAAGACAGGTGGGCATATTTCCAAAACGGACCTATGTGCTTCTCCATCTTCTAAAAGAGTACTATACTATCATAATTCTTAATTATTTATTTCATCAAAATAATGGGGCCAAAGATATATTTCTAAAAGGAGCAAGCTACAGGGCAGGGCAGTTAGTTGCCAGCAGATTAACTTGTTTGATAAACATCAAACTTTGAACTAAATTTAGTGTTATACTCAACTACAAGTAACAACAAATTTAATCTGACATTTAATGGTATGCTTGAGTTATTCTCCTGCAATAATAAATAAGAAGTTTGTGTAAAAAACTGTAATTGGTGTTATTTTAAAATATTATAGCCAAGGCTGTTTGAGGTAAGGTAATAAGAAAGAGGCACATTAGATGCTCTGAGGCCACTCTAAAGATCTCTAGATTTACATAACAACCCAAGGAGACTCAGGCAGCTGGCCTGCTTGTCTAGATTATCCTGAACTCTTGGGGATGTCAGAGGAGGCCAAAACCACTTCCTTAATATTGTTTATACATATACAACATCCCTTACTATAGGGATGAATCACAGTTCAATCCTCCATTGCCAGTTGCCACTGAGTCAATTCCAACTTATGGTGACTCTTTGTGTGTCAAAATAGAACTGTGCTCCACACGGTCTTCAATGGCAGGTGTTTTGAAAGTAGACTGCAAGGACCTTCTTCTGAGGGACCTCTGCATAGACTCAAACCACTAAATTTTCAGTTGGCAGCCCAGTGCTTAACCATGTATGTCACTCAGGGACTCCAATGCACCACTCAAAGACTCCAATCCTCCTTTAAACCAAAAGTCAAAGCCACTGCCATCAAGTCATTTCTGACGCACAGCAACACTACAGGATAGAGCAGAACTGTCCCATAGGATTTCCAAGGCTGTAAGTCTTTACAGAAGCAGGCTGCCTCATCTTTCTTCCATGGAGCACCTAGTGAGTTCAAGCCAAATGCCTTAACCACTATACTGCCTAAATCCTCCACTAAACTCAAAAACAAACTCACTGCCATCAAGTCAGATCTGACTCACAGCAACCCCTCCCTGCGTTTCCGAGGCAGTATTGGTATGGAAGTAGATTGCCCAATCTTCCCTCTGAGGAGTGGCTGGTGGGTTTGAACCACCAGCCTTCTGGTTAGCAGTCAAATGCCTTAGGCACTACACTAAGCGAGCTCCCAAATCCTTCACTATTACCCCTTAATTAACAATTAGATTTCAAAATCATTTATCACTACATAATTTATTCTTCATACCTGTAGGATGCCAAGCCAAAAGAAAATCAAACTTCAATGGTTTCTTTTCTTTGAAGGCCCAAGATGTTCTTTTATAATTCTTGGAATCCAGGTTAAAGGATAAATCCACCAAATCAATGGAAACAACTTAAAAAGAGAAAAAAGAACAAATATTTCATTCCTATATACATAGCTTCCACTGTGAAAAAAGTATATTAAAAAGTACAAATTTTAAAAGTCTTACAGATAGCAAAAATTATTTTGTTCTTCTTGTAATCACATCAGTTTACCAAATCAAACTCTCCCTTTAACGAGGATTTCTAACATTGAGAGCTAATGACAACAGATGTTTTTCATTCATATTGTTTCTACGTCAAATACTAAAGGCAGAGATCCTAAGGAGGCCAACTCAAATCTACCTATGGTTGTGGTGGCCTTAATTACTGATGTTTAAGGCAGACCTTGTCACCAGAATTAAATTTCTTCACTCATGGGGATTTTTCAGGGAGAAAATTATACTAATCATGCCTCCATCCAATTTCTAATCATGTTGTTGTTGTTGTTATGTGCCGTCTAGTCGGACCCGACTCATAGCGACCCCTCCTTGGGTTTCCGAGGCAGTATCACTACGGAAGTAGATTGCCCCATCTTCCTTCTGAGGAGTGGCTGGTGGGTTTGAACCGCCAGCCTTCTGGTTAGCAGTCAAGTGCCTTAGCCACTATGCTACCAGAGCTCCTAATTTCTAATCATAAAGACTTGAAATTAAAAACAAAACAAAACAAAAAACTGTATTAAGAACAAGTTGTAAGATTCCTATTTTAAGCTTATTACTCACATTTTTTACCCAAAACATACACATGTAGTGGAGATATATGTATCTCTGATCCTGTCATCTGTATAAGATGCAGGCTACAGCTAAAGATAAATAAATACAAAAGCAGTATCTTATCTTCTCTGAAGCTCCTTGGATCATATAATGGCCCCTAGAGTCAGAAGTTTTAAAGACAAGAAAAAGCCAAACCTTTTCTGAACAAAGAGAGTACAGGAAATTCAACATTTAAATTGAAATTGCTACAGGAAGATTATTGACTTCTTAGAATCTGGTGGAATGAGACTAATACTTACTAAATTTCATGATTTTTCTGCCAGAATACTGAGATGGACGACCTTGAAGTCCAGTTTCTTCATAAGTGTCTTTATCCAGTGATAAAATTAATTTTCCTATAAATCAAATAATTGTCATAAAAGAGACTGTCATATCCTCTGACTAAAAGTAAGCAAGGCAAATTGAACAGTTAGATAATAGTATAATAAATTACACAAGGATTTTATTATGGTATCATTTATAATAGTGAAATTAGAAAGAAGGAATAGTTAAATTATGGTACACCTATTCTCTGGAGTACTTTCAAGCCATTAAAATTAGTAAGTTAGAACTATATCACTGATATGCAAAGATGTCTATGATACATAACTCGAGAAAAAAGCAAATTGCAAAACAATGTAACAAAATGTAATTTATTATTTATTTAAAAAAAACCATAAACAATATGTGTGTTTATAAACAGACAGAAAATCTCTGGAAGAAGAAGCACCGATATGTTACCAATAGCTCCTTTAAAGGGGAGTAGGTTTAAAGGAAAGAAGATAAAAGGGAAGACTTTCCCTTTATAAAGGAGTCCTGGTGGCGCAGTGCCTAAAGCATCGACTGCTAACCAGAAGGTTGTTGTTGTTGTTGTTGTTATATGCCATCGAGTCAGACCTGACTCATAGTGACCCCTCCTTAGGTTTCCGAGGCAGTTATATCACTACAGAAGTAGATTGCCCTATCTTCTTTCTGAGGAATGGCTGGTGGGTTTGAACCGCTAGCCTTCTGGTTAGCAGTCAAGTGCCTTAAGCACTACACTAACCAGAAGGTAGGAGGTTCAAACCCACCAGCCACTCCACAGAAGGAAGACAGGGCAATCTACTTCCATAAAGATTTACTGCCTTGGAATCCCATTGGGGGCTGGTATTAGTCGGAATCAACTTGATAGCAGTAGGTTTTTTTTTTTTTTCCTCTTTATATACATCTGAATGACTAGCTTTTTTTAAAAAAAAAGAATATGCATTTCTTTTATAATTAGGAAAAGAAAAAAAATGTGAGTTGTTACCATTTGGCAGTAGGGCAACAGCATTATCTTCATCTATATTTGTATTGTATGTTAGAGCATAGCATGCACCTGTAAGAGAAAGTCCAGAGGAAATTACAACCTACAATTGAAATAAAGAATAAAATACACCTAAAAAAGGGTTTGGATTATCTTCATATAAAAGGTAAGTCTCCCAGGTGAGTAGTAGTCAATATCTAGCACTGCTCTGGCTCACTCACTAAACCAAAACCAGGCAAAGAAAAGCCAGAGATCAAGGAAGACCAATGCCAGCTCATTCAACACTACCCCCAAGGGACCTATTCGTACAAGTTTCCTATCACCAAGTAAAAAATGGACTCAGAATGGAACATGTGTATTTAGGGATGCTGAGAGAGAAGTACAAAGTAGAACACTTGAGAAGTATATAAACCTTAGAGGCAGAGTTAAGATTTGAAATCCACCTGAACTTGTGTGAAGTTAAGAAAGCTACTCCAGAGCCAATTCTGGGAACATAGTGGCATAAACAGATCATCGTTCCAACCCTCCTCCATAAATACAACAAAGAAATGATCACTCAGCCTTGAAGGACTCTGAATCCAGCAGCAAGGAATTTCAGATGGGCAAGAATAAATGAACCAATAAGTTGCATACATACGAAAACTGCTTCTTCCACCATCCTTGTCCCTCCCCCAAACCACAGAGGACACTGGCTGCTGTGAACCTGGGTAGCAACCCCAGCAAAAACAGCCTGTTTCCCTAACCACCACACCACCTGCCTCTGCAAAGAGATAGGACCCCAAGCTTCTGCTCTAAAATCAATAAGGTAGACCTTAATGGGAGTCTGTTTGGTGTAGCCAGAACATCCCCACCTGTTGGCTGCCACGCTTTGACAAACTGCTAGACACAGCTCCCCACTGTGGAGTCCACTCCCACAGCCAGCACCTGCTGACCTGCACACCCCATAGCTCAGGCCTCTAAAATCAATGACAGTTCTCCCAGGGATCAGTTTAGGTCTATCTTTCTCCCCTTCTAGTCTGTGCTGAGGACTGCTGAATGAGGGTGCTGTGCACTAAGAAGAATGTGTCTTCACACCCTGGAGAGAACAATCATGGGAGAAGGAAGGGCTGCTTATGCACAGGGAGACAGCTCAGGGTGCAGAAGAGTATGGAGGGATGGACACTGGGAAGAGGTAACTATGGGGAGGAAGTGGGAGGGGAGCTGTTGTATTGTAAATTTTGGTCAATGACATGAGACAAAGTATATGTGAACTGCTGTATGAAAAGTGAATTTACTCTGTAAATTTTCACCCAAATCAAAATAAAATTAAAAAAAAAAAAAAGAAGAATGTGTCTTAAGTGAAACCTGAATCTACAACCAACATACCATTTGTGGGTATAAAAGGCAGACAATGCTAGGGTCCATTTGGAGCATGCCAGCTCTCTTCCCATGTGGTAATTGTTGGTTGAGGCCTCATACAAACTCCTACAGAAAGTCCCCTGAAGCATAGTCAGAAGGCAGGTCACCTAATTGGAGACTCCTTCCTCAAATATCACAGAGCTCTGAAATCAACCAGACAGATACCATGGAAATCCTTCTGCGGAGTGCCAGCCCCTCCTCTTCCTGACAGGAAGGAAAGCTGGCTTGTATTTTTCCTGAATACCACCTTAGATATAAATGACTACCACAGAGCAGGGAAGGAAACCTCAGGCAAAATCACAGGGCAATACCCAGCCCAGATGGGTATTACTGTGTGTGAGCTTTCCAACTGCAAAGGTGGCTGCAGAAACAGACTAAAACCAAACCAAACCAAACACTCCAACTGAGTTGGATCTGACTCATAGCGACCCCTCCTTGGGTTTCTGAGGCAGTATCACTATGGAAGTAGATTGTCCAACCTTCCTTCTGAGGAGTGGCTGGTAGGATTGAACCACCAGCCTTCTGGTTAGCAGTTTAATGCCTTAGGCACGAGGCCACCAGAGTTCCTAGACACAGAGCAGGGAGAGAGTAATAACCAGAGAGAGAAGACTGTGTACCTTGGTAGACAGATTGATCACCATGTGTTTTCTAGCGTATTTAGAAGACATTGAAAGTGGAAAATTTAGATCTGGAACTTTTAAATCTTAATTAAATCACAGAAGGAGAAGGAGTTATCACAGAGAGGGAGAGAAGCAGTAAGCAAAGACTGAAGGCTTTGTCCACATCTAATTATTTTGCAGAAGTAATATGAGAAAAGAAAAAAGGAAGGGAGACCCAAAATGGCTCACTAAAGTAAACTAATCAAACACAAAAGCAGGCAGTATCAAAGGAAAAAGACAAATATTGGGAAGAACCGCAAACATTCACACTCTCAAAAATTTTAATGCCCAATTAAAAAAAAAACACAAGACACACAAAAATAAAGAGAAATGATAGCCATCCAAATGAACATGATGAAGGGAGTGAAACCACATCTATGGAAGTGTGAACGATGAAACGAATGAAAGTATATAATACGACAATGTTAAACATAATCAAAGAACTAAAGGAAAACATAAGCCAAGACTTTTGCAACTGAAAGAAACAGACAATGGAAATGGAAGTATTTAACAACAGATTTAGTCAAAAGAAAGATTCAGCAAATCAGAGGATAAAATAGTGGAAACTATGGAGGCTGAAGAGCAATAGGAATGGAGTCTCAAAACCGTTGAGCAAAGTTTAATGGAATTACATGACAACGTCAAGAGACATAATACAAGCATCATGGGAATTCCAGAAAGATAAGAGAGAAAGGGACAGAAAGATATTTGAAGAACTAATAACCACAAATTTCCTGAATCTGAAGAATATGAATCTAGAAGTTCAAGGAACTCAAAGAACTCCAAGCAGGATAAACCCAAACACATCATAATCAGGTTCTCAAAAAGTATCTCAAAAACATAAAATACCAAGAGAGAAACAAACAGTCCATATAAAAGAGCCTCTAAAATATTTAATGCAGATTTCTTCTCCAAAACATTAGAGGCCAGAAGGCAACGGAATGATGCATCCAAAGTGCTGAAAGGAATAAACTGTCAACTAAAAATACTATACCTAACAAAACTGCCCTTCAAGAATGTGGGTGAAATGAAAATATTCCTACACAAATAGAAACTGAGACAGTTCCTATATACCAGATCAGCCCTAGAAAAAATACTAACGCAAGTCCTGTAGATTTAAGAGAAAAAACACGAGAAAGTAATTCAAAGCCATACATAAAAAAAGATATCTCCAGTAAAGGTAATTGCATAGATAAGTATAAGGACTAATAAATAGTAAAGTATTCATGATGAAAAATTATGTTCTGTCTTTCCTGCTTTTTAATGACTAATGTATAAAATGAAAGGATAAAATTGTTACAGAACACATGAAACAAAGATGTAATTAGTGATAACAACAACAAAATGGGAGGATGGTATAGGTAAAGAATGTATTGTACATTACTAAAGTTAAGTTGCTATCAACTTACCCTAGGATGTTATAAACTCAAGATATAAAATGTAATTATTCATGGTAACCACAAAGAATTTATCTAAAAAACATACAGAGAAGGAAAGGAGAAGGGAACCAAAATGTCTCATAAAAATAAATCAACCAAAAATAAAAGGCAGTACTAAAGGAAAATGACAAAAGAAAGCCTAAGGCAGAAAACAAATAACAAAATGGCAGAAGTAGTTTTTCGTTGGTAATTGCAGTGAATGTAAATGAAATTAACACTCCAATCAAATGGCAAAGAGTGGCAGAATGGATAAAAACAACATGATTCAACTATACACTACTTGTAACAGACACACTTAAACCCAAAGCACAAATAGTTTCAAAGTGAAAGGACAGAAAAAATTATTCCATGTAGATAATAATCAAAGGAGAGCTGGGGTGACCATCTTAATATCATACAAAGTAGTCTTTAAGACAAAATCTATTAGAAGATTTTAAAGTATAGAAGAGATAAAAATGGATAATATATAGTGATAAAAAGGTCAATTAATCAGGAATATTGAACAATTATACGTATATATGTGTCTGTCGTTGTTGTTATATGCTTTTGAATTGTGGTGCTGACGAAGAATGCTGAAAGTACCGTGGAGTGCTAAAAGAACTAACAGATCTGTCCTGGAGGAAGTGCAGCCAGAATGCTCCTTGGAAGCAAGAATGGCCAGACTTTGTCTCACCTATTTTGGTCATG